CAGTCCGAAAACCGCATTCCTTCCGATACATCTTTGTTTTGATATAGGCCGAACCCTTCTTTCCAGCACATGAGAGTAGCTTGTACCGGAAGTGTGTGTAGATTGATCCTCTGTATGTGGCAACACACTCTCTGGTCCCCCTTTTTGAAGAGGGGTACCACCACCCCGGTCTGCCACTCTTTTGGCACTGTCCCAGACTTCCACGCAATGTTGAAGAGGCGTGTCATCCAAGACAACCCCCCAACACCCAAGAATAGTCAGAAGCAATTTTAAAACGAAGTACAAGGTGTAGTACAATGGGTAAAAGCCCATTGATATATGACATGATTTTGGTTGTTCTACAGTCCATACCAGTGGAGTTATTGAACGTTATTTGCCATAAATATTGAAATATATTCATACAAAATATTCAGAAGCAATTTCTATACAAAGTACAAAGTGTAGTACAATGGGTACACGATCATAGACATATGACTTGATTTTGGTTGTTCTACAGTCCATAACAGTGGAGTTATTGAACGTTATTTGCAATAAATGTTGAATAATATTCATTAAAAATAGTCAGAAGCAATTTCTATACAAACCAAATGTGTAGTACAATGGGTACACAATCATACCAATATGCTATGATTTTGGTGGTTCTAGAGTTTATAACAGTGGAACTATTGAACGTTATTTGCCATAAATATTGAATAATATTCATAGAAAATAGTCAAAAGACATTTTCAAACAAAGTAGAAGGTGTAGTCCAATGCGTGAAAGCCCATTGACATATGCTACGATTTTGGTGGTTCTAGAGTCCATAACAGTGGGGATGCTACCATTCATAATAGTGAAGTTATTGAATATTTCTGTAATGTTTTTGTCCGCATTGCACTTTGTAGACGGTCCCTGCGCACACGTTTCACGGGCAGCCACTCATTAAGAGCGATGTGATTTGTACAGCTCCTGCACTGGTCCGTATTGGTAAAATTATGGATAATTATGGTTGTAGCTGGTTGTCAACATCACTACGGTTACAGTGAGGTGTCGTTTGTGTTTCAACAACGTTTCGCTGACGAACTATGGAACCGTGAAGACTGAATCTGCGAATATCTTGCTAACTTTACAGAACTTCCAGGAGCCGGTGTGACAAGTATAAGTGAAAGCAATGACGACCATAATATTCTGAGCTCTGCCACGTCGGTCAAATGAGAGAGAAAAGAAACTTACGGGCGTTCTTCGCCGGGCATTCTAGGAGCTTTGTTGTGCGCCGAAGTTGCCATGGCACCGAGATGCACAGTGTGGTATATTGGATCGAGCACTCGGTGCTCGATTGTGTTTGACTGTCACTACGACGAAGTTCCGTGAGGGTTTGTTCATGCCTGACAGTTTTGTGATTTGGTGCCGCCAGTAAAAGTCTCAACTTGTACTGCATCCTCGTCTCCGTGCATTTGTATCGATTTAGATAACCCACGTATAGTATACGACTATAACAGTGATTATACATGTAGCATAAAGCCACAACACACAGCGCCAGTGCCCTCTGCTGGACAGTCCTCTGATAAGGCAAAGCGATAACAAGGAAAGGGAACCCTTTTAGCAACTGGCCCTTCAACTGGTAAACCCAAATGGACTGCAGCAAGTAAAAGGGTAGCTGCAAGTACAGCTGTGGCCCATTTCATCCATGGGCTCTTCGATTAGAGCACAGCCATTACAATCAATCACAGGGGTAAAATTGATGTCTCTTTGCTCAGCGATCAGCCACACTAAACTATTAAAGTAAGGTGTGGAAATCAGCGGTGTGCTCAAGAAAACAGTCCGTGCAGCTGCATCAATCAAACAAAGTAGGTCAGCAGTGTGTGATGGATTTGAAAATCAGCATCTGGTTTTATTGTTACAATGAGGTGAGACCTGAGGTCACAGACAGGAGAGTGATAATGCTCTCACCCCAATTAACAACCAGCTTTCCACTAAGCATAGCCTATATGGCTGCTGTCAGGATGTACTTGAGATGATTGTCCAGAGCAGTTGTCAAGGTGTCCTTGGGACACCCCTAACTCACCATAAGCACCAGCCAAAAAAAATGAAAATGATGGATTATTCTAAATCCATATATGTGAATTATTTGGCATTCCACAGCCCGGTTACAAACCACTAGTCCTGTTATATTGTTCTGAATACATTGTTTCATTAAGCAAAGCTGTAAGCGACCTTACGATTTTAAGATTGGCACTGTACATTTATGATCTGTACATTTAGAGACTGATAGTAAACACATGACAGTGAAGGGGTATTTTATGTTTTATATCATCACTCTATAGAGCAATTGAATGGTTTTTAGCAATTATTCCTTTCCAAAAGAAAATTGTTTGTTTTAGTAAACCTTCTTTTAGTGGTTGAGCACTAGATTTTGATATAAATATTTGAATAATAATGAATTCATAATTGCATTTTTAAACCATAAAATAATTGTTCGGTGACCGTAGTCAGTTTTGGACAGTATTTTTAACAAGGATAATATAAATTATAATGCAACTGGTCTTCCACTCTAGAAAGTCTAACTCTAACTTTAAAATGCTGCCTTGTAGGGCAATAAGCTCTTTAAGATACGACGGTGCCTCACCAGCAAGTGCCTTGTAGGTGAGGAGGAGTACCTTAAAATCTATTCTTGATTTAACAGGGAGCCAGTGCAGAGAAGTTAATACAGGAGTGATATGATCCCTTTTCTTAGTTCTTGTTAATACACGTGCTGCAGCATTCTGAAGCAACTGGAGAGGCTTAAGAGATTTACAAGAGCAGCCTGATAACAAAGAATTACAGTAGTCCAGTCTGGAAGTGACAAACGCATGAACTAATTTTTCTGCATCGCTTTGAGACAGGAAGTTCCTGATTTTTGATATGTTACGTAGATGAAAATAGACAGTCCTTAAAGTCTTCTTTATATGCGAGTTGAAGGTCATATCCTGGTCGAAGAGAACTCCCAGATTCCTGACGGTGCTGCTGGGTACCAGAGCAATTCCATCCATAAAAACGGTATGACGTGACAGCTGGCTTCGAAGGCGCTCTGGGCCTATCAAGATAACTTCCGTTTTTTCTGAGTTTAGCATCAGGAAGTTGCCGGTCATCCAGGTTTTGATGTCTCCAAGACATTCTTGAAGTCTAACTAGCTGGTCCTGTCACGGTGTGGTGCACTTCCTGTCTTATTTTGTAGTTTTCTGCCACTCGTGTCCCCGGGTAACTTCACTTCCTGCCTGGTCCTGTCATCCCCTGTGATTGTCTGATTGTTTCCACCTGTGTCCAATCACCTGCACCTCCCTTGTGTATTTAAGCAGTGTGTGTTGTTTGTCACTTGTGCTTGTCATCATTGTCCTTTGTCACGGATGTCCCTGTCTACTGCCTGCCTGCCTGTTCCTCGTTCCTGCCTGCCTTTTTGTCCCCGGTTCGTGTGTGTGTATTTGCCCGTTGGCCTTTTACTTTGTGGAGTTTTTGACTATTAAAGTTTTTTTCGTTAAAGTCTGCGTTTGAGTCCTGCCTTCCTACCCAACCCTAACAGGTCCATCTCTTGTGGCTTGATCGACAGATACAGTTGAGTATCGTCTGCATAACAATGGAAGTTTATGCGGTGTTTCCTGATAAGATCGCCCAAAGGAAGCATATAGAGGGCAAATAAAATCGGTCCAAGTACAGAACCTTATGGGACTCCGTGACCAACATTGGTGGTATTTGAGGATTCACCGTTTACAAGCACAAACTGGGATCGATCTGATAAGTTGGATTTAAACCAGCTGAGTGCAGTTCCTTTGATTTCAATTAAATGTTCTAGTCTCTGCAGCAGGATACAATGGTCTATGGTATCAGATGCGGCACTGAGGTCCAGCAAGACAAGAAAAGAGATGAGTCCTTGGTCCGATCATTCGTCATTTTCACCAGTGCTGTTTCTGTACTATGATGCGCTCGAAATCCTCACTGGAAATCCTCGAACAAAGCATTGTTTTGTAGAAAGTCACATAATTGATTTGCAACGTATTTCTCAAGGATCTTAGAGAGGAAGATTAGAGATAGGTCTGTAGTTAGACACCTCTGGAGCAAGAGTAGGTTTCTCAAGAAGAGGTTTGATTACAGCTACCTTGAAGGACTGTGGTACATGTCCTGTCAACAAAGACAGATTCATAATATTGAATAAGGATGTGCTAACTAAAGGAAAAACTTCCTTAAGCAGCTTGGTCGGAATCGGATCCAAGAGACAAGTAGAAGATTTAGACTTTGAAAATAAAGATGTCAGTTGATCAAGGTTGATGGAAGAGAAGGCATCGGGGCCCACTGCTGCATCCAAGGTTCCTACATCGGAGGACAGGTCGGCACTGGATGAAGGCAGGAGACCATCAAGATGTTTTGATGATGAAGGGTTTACCCTAGAGTAGAAAGTGTGACAACCCACCACGTTCTCTCCTATCTTTTTTCTGGCACACTAGTCTCTTTCAACCAGTGATGGTTTATGAAGTACTTGAGTTCTGCAGCAGACTATACCACTTCTTACCCTAGTAATGTTGCTCCCATTGACAGTTGTTGTTCATTGTTTGGTTTCAACAAACGCATATTCCTCTGTTTACAATGTGTCTTCAGTGATGCTGCAAGTGTTTGTTTTCCACAAAATAGCAATTAACCCCATCTTCAACTCGCCTCCTCTGTGTTGGTATATGGGATTAGACACCAGATGACTTGGCACTGGTCCTGTCATCAAAGTCTACAACATGAATTTCAAATTGGCCCCAGTGATATTTAGTTTGTGAGCTTCTCCTGAGCGGAATGTAATGTAAGGGATTACAGCACCAAGCAATGAGGAATTCAAGTTGCTTCAAAGTTCTAATCAGTATGTCTTCCTAAAAGTTGATTTTGGTTAATTTTTTTTTAACACTGTATATTGGTAGACCATGGGAAAGAGTTGCAGCTAGACAAACTGAGCAGGCTAATCAAGGTTTGCGATGACATCTGCAAAGACCAGTATGATATGCTGATATGGATCAATCAGCTTGTAGTGAATGGTCGTGCCTTTTTACAATAACTAACACCTTGGATAGAAACTGACACAATAAAGCATAATAAAATATGTGTGTGTAGTGAATGTGACTTTGTAATTCACCCTTGTTCTTAGTGTGGTTCTACACACTGTTGTTTCAGGCAGTTTTTTAGGTAATTTGTTATACACGTAATTACGACTGTTCCGGCATAGCGGCCCCTTTAAATGTTCTGGTGTTGTTAATAAACGAGACACACGCTTGTGTTCTCAACTTGAGGAATTGCCTTTTATGTTCAAATGCAACTTCCACATGTGTATTTAATTAAAAGTCCTCAATAACTTTACTAAGTGCCACAAAATGTTGAGGGCTACATTTAGATACAGATGAGAAGTTGTTTATTTTTTACCATTACAAGAGTTTCACCTTGACAGGGCCGGTCCATGGGTCATTTGTTAGTAAAAGAATAAGTAACTTATTTTCTTTCCATTTATTAATTATCAGATTTTAAAGATGTTTTTTTCTCTCGAAATATTACCAGATTCTTCTCCAATTACATCCGTTTGTGTCTCATGTTCTAAAACGCTTGTCTCGGTCACATGATAGGTCACGTAATAAATAAGCTCATCGTCTAGCTAAAATGTGGAAAAAACATCTTTGAAGAGTTTCTTTTAAAGGGGGCCGAATGATGAGACAGAAAAAAAGACAATATTAAGAGGCAAATATTATGAGTCTCTGAATGATTACATCAGGAAAACTGAACTGCTTCCATGACTAGTCGGCTTTTTGGTTTAACTGTGTAACAATTCAATTCAATGTGGAAGTGATCCAAGTATTCAGAATATAGTGCACTGGAATGTCAGGCTCGCTATGTCATTCACAGGTAAATGCTGGCTACCTGAAAAAGGTCACCATAACTTAACAGCGTGTTTAATGATGTCATTCACCACATTAAAGCGCTCTTTAATATCATCTGTTTTGGGCAGATTTGTCAAAAGGTGGACTCTTGACAAAACGGACTCACAGAAGTACGATGGCTAAAAAGAGATTGCCGACAAGTGTAAATGGCCTGTACTTGTATAGCGCTTCTCTAGTCTTCTGACCACTCAAAGCGCTTTAACACTACATGACATCCTTCACCCATTCACACCCATTCATACACTGATGACAGGAGAACTAACATTCACACACTGTAGTTGCAGCTACAGGAGCAATGTTGGGTTAAGTGTCTTGCCCAAGGACACAACGACATGCGGGTTAGCCGGGCCTGGGATCGAACCCACAACCCTCTGATTGGAGGAGGACCGTGCTCCCCACT